GACGAAGTCACGTCTGATGGTCTTTCAAAACTGAGCATTTGGCTCTGCTGTTAGTAAGGGTAATCTTTGGTATGACCGTCGTTTCTGGGCTTTTCAGGTGTCTTTGCTGGATAAGAAAGATAACTGCTCAAACTCAGGGTATTATCCGAACCCTGCAGTGACTCTGTAGTCATAAATCCATCCATGAAGTCAGCATACAGGCAAAGAACGTGGGAGAAGTGATTATCAAGAAGCTGCCGATTAAACTTTTGTTATAAAAGGTAAAGTGTGGTGGGCATGTTGAGGACCTTGAAAATACCGACTAGAGAGAACCCGGTGAGCGCCACCATTTGAAACCCACAAGAGCACTTAAGGTATAAAAGTAATAATAAAACTAAATAATAAAGTTTAAGGTAAAGTAAGCTTAAACTAAATTAAGCTCGAGTTAATGAAACTAAATAGAAAAAAACAAATAACTAAATTATATAATAAACTACAAGCAACTAGGTAGTTAGTGATGTATAGTAAACCACTGTAATGTTTATAAGGAACCCTTGTCTGATCTAATTTTTAAGCCTTAGCCCTGACGTCAGCCAGCTTATCTGATGGAACAATATAAGCAAATAGGTGGGGGACTGGATAGCACATCGCCAAACCCATCAAATGGCACACAAAAGAACGTCTAATCTTTACGTCTTAGCCATGGCATTGTTAGGCACAGCGGGTATAATGTGCATGAGAGGAGTTTTGACACTGAAATGAGCGTCCACGGAAGCAATAGCAGACGGATGATGGTCTGCACTGACCTCCATTTGTGACGCCCAGCAATTAAACTCCCAACTATGGAGATTCTAGGGAGAAGTAGTGACCAAATTGTAAAGAATCGAGTTGCTGGGAAACTGACAGGATTGTAATAAAACTCATGCAATTTGTTATGCGGATAATGTTAGCGTTCACTTATGCTCAGACAAATTGCACCTAACACTGTTACTAGCTCCAAGACACATAATGCCGAGGCAGATCTAGATGTAGAAAAAGCCGTTTGACATTTTATATTTAATACGCACCTTCGACCGCCAACAATCTGGCCTGTTGCGGCATTTCGTCCATCGTCTCCGTGCTTGAGACGATGGACTCCTCCTCCTCCTGAAAGGCGCAGCGTTCCTGTGCCATTTTAAGCTCAATATCATCTAAAAGGAATGCACAAAGTGACTTCAGGCAGAATGAATCCCCCCACCTAGGAGGAAGCTGATCTCTCGCAGCGGAACACACATTGTCGTTTCATTCACTATCTAAACATTGTTGAACTGAGGGTAGGCAGTGCTGGTGCAGCCGATGTTAACTGTTTCGACTAGCGCTCCTAAATTTGTCTTCTACACGTGCCTTGTGTGCGCTCTCCCCTGCATCAGCATGAAAAAACAGAATTCCTGGAACTGTCATCTGATGACCTGAAGAACAGATGTGAGCAGCAGTAGGCAGGAGCCGTTACAAATATTCGTCCAAATTTTGTGAATTCAAACTCCTTCGTATTGGGAGATGGGCGTTATTGGTTTCATAGACACAATCAGTGCAACAGATTTGTCTAACTTACCCTTTCTTGATTAGTTCCCCTATGCACTACTTTCCTCCCTACTACTGATATAATTTCGCATAGAAAATCGTAATTTTTAAGGAAAGGAATCCTGGAATAGAACACTTGTAGTTACCCTGTAGCGCTCTCAACCCCCCTGCGTCAAACCACACATGAGGTCACGTGATTGCATTTCTCGGTCGTCTGTGGGACAGTCAGTCATAGGTGCCGCAAATTGCGCTAACACTCAACATCTCTTGGTGGCTATAAAGTATGGAAACACCATAACGTTTGCCAGTAATACATTAGTTACTTAAAGTTAGCGAGTAACATAATTGTTTCGTTGAGAACAAAGTGAAAGTGTCCACATCTCGCCAGACGAAACAAGCCAGGATTGGTGAATCCTGGACCAGATCGGAGTACACCTATGTACTAATCTACATCCC